GAGGAGGAGTCAAAATGTATGTCACTTGCAAGCTGAGCGCTATGGCTGATGTACATAGTCTGGTACGGGATGTGGAACTGCTAAGCGTTACCACAACCGCTAAGAATTTCCGATCACTGACGCTTTCGGTGATGTACCGTTCACCTAACCATAGTTCTCACCAAGATCTCATGCTCCTGACTGAACTAAACAAAGTCAGTGAGAAGAAAGATGTCCTTATCGTTGGGCTGCTGGCATTGACTATTAATGTGGACTGCACAAGGGCCGAAAGACAGCTTTAATCACAAAGTACTACAATGGGCAACGGACAAACGTCTCTACCAGGATGTTACCTTTGGAAAATCGGCCAGGAAAGGACAGCAGTCAAACTCGCTTGATCTTATTTTTGTCCGAGAGGAGGAAAATGTGTTAGATCTGCAGGACCGACCGCCATAAGGGTCAAGCGATTAGATCACGGTCTACTTCGAGTACTCACTGTTTTACAAACCCTTTCAACCCGATAGATGGGAGAGCAACATTTGGAAAGGGACTATTCTTTCACCTGTATCATGGGAGACCGAACTGCGTTGTCGGGTAAACGACAACTGGAATACTATAAGTTCTTCACTAAGGGAGATTATTTAATATAATCGTCCTCTCAGAAGCAAGACAATCAAAAATCGCCCAAATGGATAAACTCGGACTTAAAGGCCTCTTTTAGAAAAAGGAATCGTCTGTGGAGGCGTTACAAACAAACTGGCTCCGAAGGACAATTGCAGTAATGTAAGCAGAAACGAAACGTTTGTAAAATTGAGGCTTCAAAGCTGCGAAGGAAGTTCGAACTGAACATACTACGAAATTCGTTGGAGCATTTGAAAATCCTATGTGGCTTAATATGAAATACTCAATGGATTCAGGAGCTGATCCCTGCCATAAGGTTTGCAGATGGAAAAGCGGAAGCTGATTACCAGGTTAAAGCGTCCCTGCTTTTCGACTTCATTCAGTCGGATTTCGCTCGAGAACCTAGTTCTATATTTGCCCATCCATCCGTTCGCCAAACACCCTCTCCTTCTAATGCCTTTACCCCCCCCCCCCCTATACCCTCCTTAACCGAGGAACCACTCTTTTCATCTACCATAGTTAGGGCCGAACTACTCCGGATGAAACCTACCACATCGCAATGTCCCGGTGGCATTCCCGCACGAGCACATCGTGGACTTGCTAATAAACGGTGCAAACCCTTATCCGCCATATTTCAAAAGTCATTTGAAGACGGCGAGCTCCCGGA